AAGCCCACTAAAGTTGTTTTTTGTTTTTTATTTAATCGTTCAAATTTCAATAAAGAAAACCTTCACTGTAGTGGGTTCATTGCAATTAATTTTTTAAGAACTGTGTGTGTGTGGTAGTGTGGTATATGATTATTAGGTTCGATATGTAGAAATGGTAGAACGCTTGATGCAGACCTTTCTGCATTTAGGCGAATTGATCTTTTTGGCTGAGATTGTTTACTTACACATTATATATACGTCTTTTTTTTTGTATTCTACATATATTCAGTCAATAAAGTACAATTATTATTATTATTATTATTATATTAGGTTCAGGCTAGTTCAGAAAATCGTGGCCACGAATTTTTATTTTGCATTCTTGTGAAAAAATTCAGATTCATTTAATAACCTCGGTAAGTTTATGACGAAATTAAGAGACATTCGACAGAAAATCAAGTGAATTTGCGAAAAACTTGATAGGAACGTAAATAGCAAACGTGGAATAACTTTATTAGGCCTGTAGAGGAGCGTGGGGACTTGAAGCAACATTCAAGAGAATTTGGGGAGAACTACCAAGTGTGAACCCGCTGTACAATTTTGAACGTGTGGGTTTAATTATCCATTAAGTTTTATCACCTGCTATCACTGTTAGGTACTATCTAATCAAGACATCATTTTTTGAAATGTGGACAATTTCTGTGTTCAGGCAGACGGTACACTACAAAAAGGTGAAGTAGCTACTTATTTTCGCCTTGCATAGTACAATCATATCATAAAACAAACAAAACTGACGCACACTTTTGATTCAACTACTGAATAAATCTGTACAAAAGGGGATAAATATGCGAGTTATTAATCAGTACGTTACTGAAGTAGGTTCTCATTCATATAAACAGACATATGTGTGGTTGGCTCATCAATTTTGCTGCAAGGGTAGTGAAGCGTGCCTATAACTATTACACTACTAACCCCGGCCACTATAATTATCATCATAATGCGTATTACAGGGTAATTATTAAATCTGAATTCATACGCTATGCTAATATCTGCACACCCTAAATAATATGTTGAAGTACTTACATACAAATGGGAAAAGGGGGCTCGGGATTTTTATACCGTATTATGACGACGTATATAAGTTTTGTTTTCAGGATGAGCACTGATTAATTGTATATCTTTGTCGAATATATATTTTGTGTTTATGAAATTTTATCGGTCTTATGGCCACTGTTTGTCGACATCTGTTACATTGTCGTGCTATGGTTATTACAAGCGGCTTAGTGGACACACATCTGCTAGACGTGAAGATTAAAATAATCTTCATTTTTACACCCGTCCGTGATCTAAAGCTCATGTTAAAGCAATTATTAGCATACAACTACTGCTGTCGCTTGAAGTAAACCCTCGAAAATTTCGTTTATTTGGCTTACCCTGTAAGTTGTAATGTAGGTAGTAGTTAGTTACATAAAATACTAAATTCTAATTGTAATTGTTGAAAATCCAGAATAATTAAGTTTAAAGAAATTCAACTTTCATACTAGAACTGTGCTCGCATCCACCCTCAAAGGAATGTAATTGCAATAAGAAATTAATTTGAAATGGTACACTGATTTGTGTTTTAAGTAAAATGCAATTTTTATGGCAACTAACTGAAGTTCAACTGTAATACTTAAAGCTCCTATGGAGCAGGCCATAAAGGTAGATGGAAAAATCTACAAAACTCATGTCATATTTTACGGGATTATCGTTGTATGTAAATGGCCGCTCAATATTGGTAACCGTTCATGGAGTAACTAATGATACATAATAAATTTCTGACGCATAGGCGTTATTCCTCGGGTTATTTAATGAGCTGGTTTCCTGCACTAATTTTATTTTTTTAATCTATACAAAATTTAAGCTACATTTGGTACAATAAGTGACAGTAGGACTAAACTGAATGGTTTTTGCAAATTATACTCATTCGATAAATCAAATGACAAATGAATGTATGTATGTGTAGGTATATGTATTAAAAAAGCTCACAGAAACCTCACAGTCGCATTTTAATAAATTTTGGAATGGTTGGTTGCCTAAATGGCAGTAAACTTCATTACTTTAGACGGTGATCGTATACATAGATAATATGAGCAAGCTTTCCTATGCTTTATTTAAACAAATACTGAAAATAATGTGTACGAAGAAGCACATTTTCCCAAAATTTTGGAAAAACTCAATTAACTGGGGAACCTTTCCATTTATAAGTTTATGGTCTTTGTACCAAAATTACTCCAAATTTTGAGTAGATTTATGAAATGAATAAAATGTTGCAGGGGCGAATGTTCTGGGAGCGTACAGTCCACGGGCGAACATAGGCAACTAAGTATGCACTTTCGATCTGGATGGATATGTAATGTACCTACCTATATTTGTGTTACAAGAAACCGAACGGATGCGCAATCCTGACATCATACCTTAAGGCCAGGAAGCTTTCCCATTCGCTTCATGCAAAGCAAGTCGCGTGAAACAGATGATCGCGCATTCTAATGACATATGTCATTCTTTTATTTATTTATTTATTTATTTATTTATTGTTACAAACTACACAGGGCACAGCCCTAATTACGTAGCAGGTATCTATTATCTATTAATTAAGGGTTGCTGAATAATAAGTATATAATCTAATAATGACATTCACCTAAAAAATGCTACAAACTTTCACCTACAAAAAATTAAAAAAATATGATACTGTTGGGGTGTAAGAAGCCCTACTAATTTTTTTTTCTTTTATCCTTAATTGAAATCATAATGTTTTATTAATTGTTTGGAAAAAATGTTAAATATTACAGTAAAGTCTAAATCTAGTAAACTAAATAATTCGTTGACAAGTCATTATCAGAAACTATTGTAAGCGTACGTGACTACAGGTACGTGCAAAAAAAGGTACATTTCTGGCAGATACACGCGGAATTTTGATTTGCATTAGAGTTAAAAGATAACTATCTTTGATCCTGTAATTCAGAATATTAAAAGCCAACTGCATTAAAATTATATTTCTCCTATTCACTAAGCTTTGGATTTCAAAAACTTTCCTTAGTTCAACCGATCTAACACTGTTATAGTTAGGATAAGTGCCAAATTTTTTATAATAGAGAAATCGTAAAAACTTATTTTGGACTTTTTCAATTGCTTTTATTGAATTACACGTGTTGGGATGCCAAACTGTGCTAGCATATTCAAGCTTTGGTCTAATTAATGTAAAATAAAGTCGTTTAACTGTACTTATGTTTTTGAAATTCTTGGTTTGCCTCACAATAAAACCCAATGTTTTGTATGCACCAGCCACTGTAATATTTATGTGTTTATTAAAGTTCAATTTATCATCGTAAGTTACTCCAAGATCCTTTATGGAAGTTACACGTTCCAAACTTAACCCGTTAATTTCATAATTAAAAAAGAGTGTACTCTTCTTGCGCGAGAACGATAATACATTGCACTTTTTTATGTTTAGAGGTAATTTATTCAAACGGCTCCACTGATGCAATTTATTAAGATCATTTTGAAGATATAAACAATCAGAAATACTGGTTATAGGCATAAATATTTTTTGGTCATCCGCGAAAAGTAAAGATTGAGAGTTACTAAACTGAGAAGGCAGATCATTTATAAAAATCAGAAACAGCAAAGGTCCCAAAATAGAGCCTTGCGGTACTCCAGAATTAGCTTCAAATTTGCCTGATGTGTTACCATTAAATTTCACTGCAAGTTTGCGACTGCTTATTTCAAATGGGGCGTGGAGCACGAAAAAACAAGTTCAGAACATAATTTGAAGATGTATTAGGTACTGTAAGAATACAATAATAATAATAGGTATAAATTATAAATATTATTTTTATTTTATTTATATTATTTTATTATTACCTGTGGATAGTGTTTTAACTACGGTGCAATTGGAACCTACTTATTGGAGATGGGAAGTAGAAAGTAGGTACCTAAATTTGAAACATTTTTTCTCGGAATTACACTGATAAAATAAAGTCAGAAAAAAGGGTTGAGCACGCCTCATCGGGATAGGTATTCAAGGAAATAGCATCTTTTAAACGGAATGGATTGTGTATTTTAAAATTTTGAAATGGAGTAAGTGAAGTTCTGCACATTTCAAACTGAACTCTGAGTAGAAGCTGTCTCTATTCGACAAACCCATGCTATATAGCGTCTTCAGCTAAGTAAGCTAAATTTAATGTAGCCCTCAATACCTACTAGAACTAGTGCTCCTTAAAGGAAAAAACTCGTACCTACAGATGATGAAAATTTGATTTCTCATAGTGGTCTCACTGCTTATAAAATCTGACACGCATGTTAAAATCAATGCAACGACTCGAACAGCAAATCGATGGGGAGATAAATTTAATATTCTGAAGGAAAGTCTAAGAATCGTTTCGCTATAGGAAATAACGAAGTTTAAAACAGTGAATTATCTTTAGCCCAATTCGATTATAGGTATTCCAGACTCTAGGAAAATCTTAACCTTTTATTTTCCCGCAATCTACTCACAATATAGGAGCATTAAAAGTATATTTTATATTCATTATGTAAATAGACAGGCAATTTCAATGAAAGTTTCACATTTATTACATTTATGACATTTCAGAGTCATTACAGATGCTCTGTAACAGAGTTATAGTCCTTGGAAGAAGAAACAATTCCTGCGCTGAGTTTTCAGAGTATTAAAAATGCTAGATTCTGTATACTACGAATTATGTTATTAAACTTATTTGAGAATCGGGAAAACGTGATACAAAGAAAAAAAGAACTACAGCTCTATACAATTCAAAAACACCTGTATAAAAGAAGGAGACACAAAAAATTAACATTACAATAGAAAGGCGGATCCATTGAAAGTTTCTAACCATAACCTGTGTTGGTAATACATAAAACTCCACCCAGTTTCTCCATTGGTTATACACTGCAAGTTCAAGCACGCGCGTTTCGGATACAGTCCAAGTTTGGAACATGTTTCAGGACCAAAGAGTCCTGTGCTTTACAGTGGCGAACACGTAGATCGCGATTGTTAGTCATTATTGCCCAAACAGGTATTGTAACTTTATTGTGTTCCGGTGTTGTGTTTGGTTTTTTTTTGGACATAATTCACAATTGCATACGCCAGTTGCGGAAACAGCCTCAAGATTGATCTGGATCTACATAGGCAGGCCGCCAGTGGCCACTTTCTAAGGTTTGTCGATTGCTTGTGTTAAAAGTCACCGCCGATTAATTTTCGGGTCAAACACCTACTCACCGGGAGATTTACTAGTGTTGTCTTTGATTTATGACCATTTAATAGGGTATTATATAGTATATAAATGCTTGCTCTTAAATTTGTTTGCGCGGTAATTACTATTCAAACGTTCTAAGTTGAGTTAACTTTAATCCGCTTAAAAGCTCCGCGGAGTTAACACTAACTTATTGCCTCGTTAGCTTACAAGAAGAATGGGTTTTTATTTCACTTTATCCAACATTCATTCAAGAACGATATTATGAAAATATGTAAATAAATATAGGTAAGGTGAACAGCATTTGGTGTATTTACACTTAAATTTTCATGCCAACTTACATTAACTTTAGATTTGAGTTCTGGGAAAACATACTCAACAAGCATCTATGCATTTATTCAACAAATTTCCTGATAATCAAAGTCCGAAATATTACAATTTTGTTTAACTTTTAAAGCTGTCGGTGGGCAAAATTTGTTTTGAAGGGTCGAAGCAAAATATGGAAACGACGCATGATAAAGTTGTTCGTCGTATAAAAAATCGGCGTACACAGTACCTACAAAACAATCTTTTTCATTTCACGTGTCTTCCGATGGATGTGTATTTAAATTTTAACCGGCCTATAGATAGTTAGTGCAAAAATATACGAAAAATAACCAATGCTTTAAATGGACACTATCTAAGGAACCATAAAGCGTAAAAAGTTCGAGGGATCGGTAGTGGGAAATTGTTATACCTACTCATAACGCGGCCTACCATGTGTACCTATAGAGAATTGTCTTGAATGAAGGGACCAAACAATTTTATTACAATCATTTTTAAAGTCGAGCTTTTCTTATAGCCTTCCAAAATCAGATATACCTATAGGCCTATAGTGCGGTGTAAAATACCCGAGAAAATACCTAAATGTGTAAGCCTCTTCAATAACAATGTATTTATTGCATTAGAAACACATGAGAAAGGTTTTACCCTTGTTTAGGGTAATTTTCGTGGTCTGTGCACTTTATTTTAGTTAAACATTGGTACTTATTTTCTTGTACAATTTTTACTTTGATCCATGTGCGTCACTCAAAGAGGGGGTGGGCGTCACTTGAAAGGGGGTGCAGTAAATTGAAATAAAAATGCTACATTTAAACCTATTACAAAATTCTAAATTTATTTATCCAATTTTGAACAAGAAATTTATAAAAAGATTTCAAAGCAACAAGAATCCAAAAATCAATAACTAATATGTGCTTGATGCTTTTAAAAAAGACACCATTTCTAAATTGGGTTCTCTATTGGGAATAGCGACTCTGGGATGAAACGATTGTTTTCAAAAGATTTTCAAGGGTGCTCTACCAACCCAACCCACGATACATTTACAAATATCCATGCCCGAACTCGGATTCAAAACACGGACCCTTAGTACCGCAGTCCACCTTCTACGCCACACGGACCTTCGTTCTTCTTTCAATAAGAAATCTTTTGGTTTTCTATGGAAGACGAACCCAATTCCAACCAAGCGCAAAAAGTGTAACACCTTCTTCTGCAAATAAGTAAATCGCTGGAAATTCATACTCAAGTTTTTTTAATGGCTCTCCATGGTTTTTTAACATTAGAATTTGTGATTTTCTTCTAAAAAATTCTGAATATTTAGATTAATTTATTCTAAAATACATCTAAGTTCTTTCTCTGGAGTTGAAGATTTAGTGTATGACGTTATTCGACAGAATGTTACTACCGAATGAGCAGGAAAAGTGATTACTTCAATGGCTGTGAAACATGGGTGTAGGTTGATTTGGTCACGAATGTACATAACTTCTTTTCGAATCGGTTAAGATAAAAAATTCTTCATCCTCAAATTTTTTTGTGCCACAAAAATATTTCCCACATTCCCCTGAAAGTTTCTTGGTTAACAATTGGTAACACATCCATGTCTGTTAAAACATAACCTCGTATAGGTATATTAGGTTGTTACCTCAATTCGATGACCATTTCGATTTCGAATTAATTTTTAACGTGAGGGCAACTCACCACATATGCATTAGATAGAGGATTCTACTGTGACTAGTGGTTATTCATTGGGATAGAAAACGAGTAGGTATAGATAATGGTAGTGGCAATATGGTCACTTTCTTAATAGGTATAGGCAAAAAAAACGATCTGTTGGTCGTTGGTGGTTGTTTTTTGCTATAGGTATCTATAGGTATGCCTAGAAGTACCTATAGAAGAAATAAAAAACCATCAATTTGTCAATTTTTTGCTATATCGTTCCTAGTAGGAATGCGCGATATTTATCGTACCTAACTCTTACCTATAGGTATTATAAACAGTTAAAAATCAATTTGCAAGTAGGACTATATCATTTATTGCATCCAACGTGGAGAAATAAAACTTGATGCTTGGTTACGCGTCTTGTCAAAACCGGGTCTCATATTCAGGTATCATTTTTTAGAAAATATTTTCTGTGTGCTTACAAAATTTGTATTGATTCCCTAGAAATTCCCTAGGAAATCCCCCTAACTGTCATAAACCCCTAACTACGTAAATCTTTGAACGCTTTCTAAGAATCTTTGAGGATCTATGGATATCTATAAAGGAATTTAGGTAAAATTTCTTAGAGACCTGTAAAGTATCTTGAAGAATACCATCATGAATCTCTAGACAAACACTATAATTAATTTCTGAGAAATATTTGAAGTGCCTATTATAACCCAATACGAATTTTGGAATAGCTTTTGAAGTATCTAAATAGGCTTTAGAGAACCTCCGAAATCATTTCGGCTACTTCCTGTAGATTGTTTGTAGATTCGGAGATTGCTTGAAAAACACCTGAGAGATGTTTGTACAATCTTTAAAGAACCCGTAAAATTCACTAAAGAATGTCAAGAAATTTTTAGAAATTTTGTGAAAATGATGGGTAATACGTACCATTCTTTAAGAAATCCCCAAGATCTGCCTCTGAAGAAATGTTTTCTGAAGGAACCGTGTAAATAGGAATATATAATAATATATAATGTTCCCACCCCCCTCCAAAATATTCGGGCCAAAGAGCACCAAACGCATCTTACCTAATAGTATTCAAGAAAACTTGCCCCGTGGATCAATCGCCAATACTTATTTAGTGCGTGGTTACCTTTTATTTCTTTGATAACCCTTTGTATGGCTGGAAACTCAGTGAGGGAGCGAACATTCGGTAAATATTTTTAGGCGATGAATTTTCGGTATTCATTATTATCGGTAACGGTGACATAGATAGACCACCGTGCTATTAGTTATCAGTAAAAACTTTTAGGAGAATTTTTTGAAAGAAATTCCCTTTATGTGAGGGGTTTGTCCGTCTGTTCTCGTCTAACTCGAGAATGAAAATTAATTTGTCTACCCCGTAGAAATGAACCAAATTTTTCCCGGTTCAGTTGGCAAGATGCAAATGTCATCTTTCAATGAAAATGAAAATGGTTTTGGAACTGCAGATGGGGAGCTTGAGGAAAACAGGAGCGTAATGGATTTATAGGTATATATAGGGAAAGGGTAACTTTATTACCAAGTAATATCTCATATACAATATAATTACTATTCCTAGGAAAAGTAAGGGTTTTCCCCAAAAAATTTGCGTTCACTCTAAAATTAAAGGCGCGACTGTGGTTGTGGTTATGTACTCGTATTTAGACATTATTCTATTAAAAACATTATAAAACGAGAATAAAGTCATAAGGTCCGTTGTACAATGATAATTCAACTTGAAATGTTCAGTAGGCTGACAGAATTCAATTGGTGAATTCTTAAAATTATGTCAGCCAACTGAATTGAAGTTCAAACAAGAAGACAAAAATTATTTATGCACCATAAAAATTACAGCCCTAACGCTACACGGATTTTGAAGTAAAAGATTTCTCATTTATGAAATGGGAAGTGGATATACCTAGTTTTGTGTGCACTTAGTGTGGCTTGTGTACCCTATAAACAAAATCAAACAAGGAAAAAAATATTTGATGTGTTACGAATATTTATACTCACAAGAGAAGGAATCTAACGAAAGAACGTTTGCTTGAAAAAGTGGTACCTTTTGAAACGGAAGGGAGATATAATTTGTTGTGCACTTACAGGGTGCTTTGTGTCAAACATGGAAACCTGTACCACAAAAAATATAGCCTTCACAATAGGTGTACGGTTAGGTAAAATAGAGTTTTCATCGGGGTTTTCATAAGAAAAACCAGGGAAAAAACCATGTAATTTTTGAAACGGAGAGGAGCTACATCGTCATGTGCATTTAAAGGGCGCCTTTTGATCCTGTAAGCAAATCAAAACAAATTATCGCCTTAATAATAGGTGGAATGCTAGGGTAAAAGGAGTTTTTCTTTAACAATTTCTAATTTTGCAAACAGGAAGGGAATATACTTCTGTAGCACTGTAAATAAAAATGTTTATCTACCACAAAAAATACAGGTCTCACAACAAACAGATCTTCACGTAACATTGAATTTACCCTAAAAAACATTGTAATTTATGTGGACCATTAAAACAAACTCAAAAATTGATGCATGTTTCATAGAACGCCATGGAAACGGATAGCAAAAATCGTGAAAAAAAGTACGATTTTTTCACAAAAAAGTCCGGTAATTTGATCACTGAAGACTGCAGCCTTCTCAATAGACAGATTTTCACGTAAAATTATGTTTTCCCCCTGGGAGACGCTAGAAACATAAATATTTAATGTAGGAACCACAAAAATGATACCCCTCACAATAAACGGATTGTCTTTATTAAAAAATGTAGTTATTGAAACGGAGAGGAGTTTTACTTTTATGTGCATTTAAGGGTGGCTAACTATCAAAAAGTTGGTATCACGCAGCCACCTTACCTGTTTTACGGTTGTTCTGAACTTAATACTAAATAAATTAAAAATTAAAAACAATTTCTCAAATGTACCTATCACCTCATTGTATAGTTCAGTAGAAAAATCAGGTGTTTTTGGATATAT